TCTGAGAAGCCACACACTTAGGAAAGTGACCTTTGAACTTTTGACCCCTATGAAAGTGTATTTCTTTCATTTGGGAAGTTTTTCTCTGGCTGGCTTAGAGGTTTTTAAAACCGGTGCAGAGTGGTGGGTAAGAGCCTGGGCTCAGGGACTCGAGGAACCCGGTGTGAAATCCCATCCTGCCACATAACCGTTGCACTGTGGGGGCAAAACCTCATCCCCTCTCTTCGCCTCAGTTTCCTCTCTGCAAAAGGGAGCCATGGGGCTGCAGGTTTAGCTCAGTGGCATAAGGGCCTGCCTTGCAAGCAGGCAGTCCTGAGTTCGATCCCCAGTACCGATAAAAAGGAAAAAGACAAAAAAGAAACAAAAAAAAGGGAGCCATGCCCAGAAGTCAGCCAGTCTGAGCATGTAGCTTAATGATCTCCAAGAGTGTGTGCTATGCTGGGGACCCCGACCTGCAGTGGCTTGGGAGGGTGCACAAGTCTTGGGGGCTGGGTGGGAAGACAGAAACCTTTCAAGCAGTGGGGACAGGTGAGGACAGGCCCTCCAGGACAGGGACTTTCAGGGTTTTTAAACAGGGCCCAGTGTGTGTGTTAGTGTGCTAGTGCGAACCCCTCTGATCCAGTTGTACAAATATAACCGAACCCAGAGGTCAGAGGGTCCTTCGGGAGTTGCTTGATGTTCATATCTTTTAATCGCTTCTGGTGACCATGCAACCTGATTCCAGAATCCTTCCTGGATCTCCTCAAGTGGGGAGCCCCTGCCAGTGCTGGCGGCACAGGGGAGAAAGAGTGTGGGTGTCTCTGGGGTGGGGCGGGAGTATGGAGGGGAGGTAGGAGTGGGTCAGAGCAGGAGGGGCTGGACAGGGGCCTGGAGAGGACACTGTGCTGGGGTCCAGGTCCTGATCACTGGGGCACACAGGAAAGCTGCTGGGGTGCGCGCCCGCGCTCCACAGCCAAGTTCCCTCCAGGCTGGGGACTCAGCACAGGGTCCAATGAGGGGGCATCCACTGCCACCAGGTGCCTCTTCCCAGCCCCCAGACACCATGCGGGCAGCCACAGTGTCACAAGAAGAACTGGAAAAGGGAGGAACCAGGCACCTGCGGGGAGCAGGCTGTAGTCTTTCTTTCCCAACAGTGGCACGGAGCTGGCAGGAGGAGAAGGGGCAGGGGCGGCTGGGCTTGTCTGTCTCAGAGCCCTGCACTCCCCACAAGGTCCAGTGGGGGTGGGCCAGAGTGGTAGATGGACCTGGTCAGGGCAGGCCTCCCGGCTCCTGCCGCCCCGGGCTGTGGTCCTGTCTCTCAGGCAGGTGGAGCAGCACGGCTGGCATCTGACTTCCCTGCTTCTTCCTTCTCGTCCTGCGGGGAGAAGCGGCCTGCCCACACTGACTTCCTGGACCTGCCGACCCCCACCACAAGCCTGAGAGGGTGGCATTGTCGCTCCAGGTGATGCAGGGAAATGGTGACCTTCAGAGATGTAAAGGCATCCTCGAAAGGCCGCACAGTGGTCCAAGGCTGGACCCGCTTTAGGGACCCAGGGTTCCCCCACCCACCTTCGCTGGCCAAGGCCAGGCTTCTGTGCAGTCTCTGGTGCAGAGGTGCAGAGGATGGAGGGGTTCAGGGGTGTCGCCCCTGAGATCTCTGTGAGGTGGGGGTGGCCTGTCCAGCCCAGCTGGGATGTCTGTGTTTGCAGCTGTGTGGGAGTGGGGAGAGGAAGGGGAGGACTTGGGGGCCAAACAGGACACAGCCAAGCTTGGGCAGGGCTGGCCAGGTGGTGGCCTCAAGACTATCATCTTCTTGTCCTGCCTCTCTGTCTCCCCCACCAGGTCCTTGTTATCGGGGCACACTCTCCTATGCCCACCTGGCATCACCCCATCCTCTTGTACATCTGAGGCCCCAGTCCAGAGCAGCCCCCCTGGACCTGACCTTCAACGCCCCCCGTTAGCTACCTGGGCTGGAAGGAGAATCCTGAAGGGGCAGCAGGCCGGGGCCTGGCAGGAAGCTCACTGTCCTCTCCACCCCTTGACCCTGCCGGGGTCTGCCCTCGCTGTGCCCCTCAAGGCCCTGCACCCCAGATGAAGGCATCACATCTGTCCCTTCTGTATGAGACACCAACGATCCTCATGGGCCTTCCAGCTCGAAGCTGCCCCAGACGGCCTGCCCTGCCCGGGGGCCCTCGGGGCCTGGTGAACCATTGGAAAGAACTGAGCTGCTCCTGGCACCTTTAGGACACTGGTGTGGGAGGTTTCCCTTGGCAGTTCCGGTCACAGAGCAGGTCACGTCCTCTGGTTCTTTAGGGTCACACGTGAGTAGTGCATCTTCACATTTCCAACCCTGTAACACACAGACCTTGACAAACCCGGAGACTGGCCCTGTCCCCATGGGGCCAGGGTGGCGGTGAAGCTCTTTCTCTTCTCCTTCCTGGTCCTTTCCAGGGAGGGTGTCAGAGTTGTGTGGGAACAGAAGTGTCCTCCTGGCCAGGTGCTGGGGACAGGGCCTGGACTCTGGGGATTGGCAGTGTTTGGGGTGAGCTCCGCCGGGCACCTTCCCGGGTGACTCACAACTCCTGGGTACCCACTGTGGCTCTGGTGTTCAGGTGACACAGTGCCTGTGTCACAGCCATAGCCTGGTCAGTTTCTGTGCACATCTGCCCCTTCTGTCCCTATACTCCTGGTTCCATGGTGCCAACACCCCCTGCCCCAGCTGCTCAGACATATTCAGGGGTCCCCCACCATCCTGCCCACCCGGGGTCCCTCTGTTCCACATCAGCCTTCCCAGCCAGACTGGAGGGGGCTTGCCAGGGCAGGGCACCCCTCCAGCTGCAGGGTCAGTCAGGAACTTTGCAACCTGACTGGTGCCTCCTGATGTGTTTGTGGAAGCCTGAACTGGGAAGGGATTCGTGGACTTGGAACTAAATTGCTTTGAGCCTTAATGGGGGCTGCACCCCCACAGCCCATGCCACAGAAAGGGCTTCTTGGGGGCACAAGTCCTGGAGAAAGAGTGGGAGCTGGGCAGCTACTGTGGTCCAGGCTCTGGGGTGCCGACTCCCTAGCAAAGGAGGGGACCGGGCCATGTCCCGTACCTCCTTCCTCCCTGAGGGTCCTCTACCCTCTGTCCCCAGATGGGCTGTCATTTCCTTTCCTTTTTTCATATTTTGGTACTGAGGATTGAACTCACAGCCTTGCGCTTGCAGGCGGGCACTGTGTCACTGAGCTGTACCCCTGGCCCCGGGCTGTCATTCCTGATGGCGCACAGCTGACGCTGCCTGTCTGCTGCCTTTTGGAGCAGCAGCGGGAGGAGGCCCTGGCCCTGGAGCCTCTGCCCCCCACATCCAGCGGAGCCGGGGGCTGCGTGTCATGATCCTAACCTCCTGACTTTGAAACAACAAACCCCAGAAAGCTATGGAACAATGCAAGTCTATTTTTATAGTGTTACCCAGAATGGTAAAGATCAGTTTAATTGCACTAGCAGATTCTATGGTTTTCTAGAAGGATACCTCAGATGGGCGTCTTCAGGACAGTCGGACAAATGTCTTCCTGCCTGGACAAACAGGAAGGCGGGACGCTGACTGCCTGTCTGTCCGGCGTGGCTTCTTTGGTACACAGGGAGCAGCAGGGAGGTCGTGGGAGCAGAGGTCTCCGTCACTTCCCTGCAAAGCCATTTTCCTGGTGACTTTGGTCAGGCTCCAGCCAGCCTAGATGGAGGATTTGGATGCACTGATGAGCAGCTCCTGAACCAAGTCTGAGGAACACAGGCGCTGGTCATGTGAGGAGATGGCGGCCACAGCTAGCAGGCTGCAGATAGAGAGCTCCAGGCCGAAAGGGCCTGGGGAGAGCACAGTGCTGCTTGTCCTTCCAGGCCACCCGGGACCCTGTGATGCCAGGCAGCCACCCTTGGCCTGCCCCGGGGCCCTCTACCCTCCCTGCTGCCTCTCACGGCCCCTGCCCTGATCGGCCTCCTCAGTCACTGTATCACTGCAAAGAAGCCACAATCAACCCACAAATGACAGAGCAATCTCCCTTCCTCCCCTGCTGCCTGCGGAGCCCGGGACAGGGCCTGGGGCTCCTCACCTAGGAGGAGGCCCAGGTGCCAGCTCAGTGGCTGTTCCCAAAGTCAGCACTGTCGTGTTAGTTACACAAAGGCAAACCCGCTGTGACAGCGTCCCACCTGGCAGAGTTTGGGACCTTGAAGTCTTCAGGTCTTTGTACGGAGAGGGACTTGCACCTCTTTAGTGGCCCAATAGGGAGCCAGAGATGTCAGCCTGTCCAGAGCTGCACAGCATCAACCTGTGCTGACGGCCAGTTCCACCCCTCAGTCCCGAGAAGGCCTGGCCTCCCCTGGGGCCCCTTCCCCAGACAGGCTCCAAGCTAAGCTGCGGGGACTGAGGGAAGACCAGCCTGGCCTCCTGCCAGCCCACACCACGGGCAGGAGGCCCACGCCTCGCTCTCTCCAGCAAAATAAATCTCAAGGCTCCCTCGGAGCGTCTCAAACAGGCGATCTTCTCCCGATTAACACGCGGCCCACATGTTCTTAGCTGCCTGCTGCCGACCTCAATTTAAAACTGTCTGCTGCCAGCTCAGCCGCAGGGGAAGGGCAGGCCTGGGAGGCAGGGCCAAAGGAAGTCCAGGGCCCTGCACAGCCCACGTTAGGGGAGGCGGCTGCTGACCCCAGTGCCAGCCAGAATCTGAGCAGCATCCCAGGAGCCTGTGGGGGTGATGACCAGGGGCGCCCAGTGCTGCTTTGCAGGTTTCCAAACCGTGTCCTCGAGATTCGAGGTGCATGTGATGTGTGGGGGCGGGGTGGTTGTCTACTGCAGAACTGGTTCTTTTGCGGGTACTGAGTCCAAGCTCGCAGCTCGCGTGGACAGTATGGCACACCTTCACCTCCCTGGGAAATGGTTGGGCCAAGCCCTGAACGCAGAGAGGCCTGGGTCCTCCCAGGAAGGCAGGCAGAGGCGAGCTGGCCTCTGGTGACCCGTCCCTCTCTCCCATTGCCTGTCGTACAGGAGGGCAGTTAGTGAACCACACCGGCCTCCCCATCGTGGTCTCCCTGGCCAACATGACCTCCTCCTTCAGCTGCAGCATCACCTACAACTCGAAGTTCAAGGACTTCACTGTCAACTACTTCCACATTAACCTCCAGGGTCAGGGGAGCCAGGAGGAGAAGCTCCCCTGCCAGCCGGGCCCGGTCATAGAGAACCGCACCTACACCCTGAGCTGCCCAGTCAACCTCAGGCTGCCAGACGCCTCGGCTACCGGCACCTACTACTGCGTGGTCCGGTGGCCAAGCTACATGGTGCAGGGCAGTGGCACCTTCATCCTGGTCAGAGGTGAGAGCTCCCCTGGGCGCTTTCGAGTGGGGCGAGCAGCTGCAGTGAGTGGGGTGCGGGAGCCGACGTGCAGACCCTGGGATGTGATCTAATTCTTGGCACCGCTGATGGTGGCCTGAGAGGTCACTTGACCCCTTGCACTGGGGGTCCCATTGACACAGTGGGGCGGGAACGGGGCTTCTGCAGAACCACACTGTGTGTGGGACACACGAACCATGTGAACCCTTGGCTCGTGAGGTCTTTCTGGGAGCAAATTGGTCATCGTTACATTCCCAGAGGTAGGAGACCCCACCACTTGGTCTGCTCTCCACGAGTTGATTTTTTGGGTTTTGTTTTTCGTTTGTGGCACTGGGGATTGAGGATTGAACCGAGGGGCTTCCACACTGAGCTCCACCCCCAGCCCCTTTCTATTTTTGAGATAGGGTCTTGCAACATTCCGAAGTTGCCTAGGCTGGCTTCTAACTTGAGATCTTCCTGTCTTGGCCTCCGGGAGTGCTGGGATCACAGGATGGGACCCTACACCCAGCTGGGATGGAGAGAGGAAGGGAGGAAGGGTCCAGGAAAAGAGGCTGTGCACTCGCCTACGTGTGATGTGAGCTCCTGTCTGGGTACAAGCCTGCCACTTTATGCTGTCACCACACTTGCCCATGTTATCACCGTTTTGAAGGGAGGGAAGGGAGAGCCCCAAAGATCACATGACCCCCCCCAGGGTCCTCCCCCAGGCAGCCCACAGTGAAGGCAGCTCACTGAGGCAAGAGCAGTCCTGGGCCTTGGCCTTGGCCTTCAGGAGCTTCAGTCCAGTGCGCAATAAATAGGAGGCTTTGCAAATGAGTGCAAGAACAGGAACTTGCATAGGGTGTGGGGTGCACACCTGTAATCCCAGCTACAGGGAGGCTGAGTCAGGAGGATCACAGGTTTGGGTCCTGCCTGGGTGATTTAGCAAGTCCCCGTCCCGAAGTAAAATATACAAGCTGGCCATGGTATGCACACCTTTATCCCAGCGCTTAGGAGGCTGAGACAGGAGGGTTACCATGAGTTGGAGGCCAGCCTGGGCTGTATAAGCGAGTTCAAGACCAGCCTGAGCTACATAGAGAGACACTGTCTCCAACAAACAAACAAAAAACCCCAATAAAGTAAAATAACTAAAATATACAAAGGTTGGGGACATACTCAGTTGTAGAGCACTCTGGTTGTGTCCCTGGGCAGGGGAAGACCTGAGGTGGGCCTGGGGTCATCTAGCGGGGCTCAGGGTCTTGTGAGAGAGGGTTGGCAGGGGGTCCTGGGAGAAGAGTAACACAGGGCTTTGGGGTCTGGGGTCAGGCGGGCCAGGTAGGTCCCAGCTTCTCTTGGGGACTGAGCTCTGTTTCCCTGTCGGCTCCTCCTAGACACAGGGTACCAAGAGCCACCACCTCCACCTCCGAGCAACCAGAAGGCCCTGTTGTGTGGCTTCACCGGGCTCCTGGCTGTGCTGAGCGTGCTGGGCACGGCTCTGCTGCTCTGGAAGAAGGTACGGGATGGTCACACACAGCAGGGACATGGCCTGCAGAGGCCTCACTGGACAAGGGCCACTCGTCTGCCCACAGGTGTCGTGAGTGTCTTAGAGCACTCTGAACTCCGGGCAAGGTAAACACGCACACACGCCTGATCGGGACACGGGGGGTACAGTGCTCGGAAAAGAAAGACAGGAGAGACACCTTTACTGTCTGCACCGCGTTACACTGCACTGCACGCACAATCTTTATTTTAGGATTCATATATAGTAAACCCGATCAGTTCACAGAGCCCAGATAATTAAGTAGTGAAAAGGCATTCTTTGTGGCAAGCTACAACGTGACAGACTACAATGTTTATTCTAAAGCTATCTAAGTGAAATAAATAATCACAACCAGTTCTTATAACTTCTCTAGCCCAGGAAGAAATTTATTAGCTCAAGAATGTTGTTAATTTGTCTGCTGTTAGTGTCACAAAGGGTGGCCAGCCACTTCCTCAAGACTTCTGCAAAACAAAGCCAGCTCACAGTATGGATTCCAGAGGGTGAGGGGCTCACTGAGAACAGGCATTCCTATTCTACCTCCTTCTCGCATACCAGGGTGGCTATTGTAAATTGTAGGTTAGAGGGGGTTGGGCCTACAAAGTGACACCTCATCCCCCACACTTCCTTCCTTTTTATTTTTTAACAACAATTTCCATAAGATCAGGTTATTAATAGTATTTCGTCTTATGCAGTAAAAATACACAAGAACTATGGCAATGAGAACTATAATTAAACTAAGTCCCATGCCACTAAAAGTGTGGGTTATGCTCTGCCAGATTCCTTTGGAATCTAATCCTTTTAAAGATTGAGCAAGCAATTGCGCGAATTGTGCTAGGGATTTATCATCATTTTGCTTTGCAAAATCCTTGTCAATTTGATTATGTAAAGATTTTATTTCTTCCTGGGCAGAGGTGTTTCTATTTAGATACATTCTAATCATTTTCCATTTATGTTTTGTTTGATTATAAGGTCGTTGGGTTATACAGAAAGTAGTTGAATTCCAATCACATTTTAAAAACACTTGATGCTGAAGAGCCAATATTTTTCTACCCATCCATTCAACTGTTTGTTTAAGGAGGTCTATTTGTTGTTGTAGTCTGGCGTTTATTTGCCACTGAGTTAACCAAAGTTCATGAGAATTTTTATGCCATAATTCTATAACATGTTTTTCTTGTAAAGAGGTTTGTAAAGCTATTTCTGAGACTGTTGCTAGGGAGGCTACAGTTATCAGACTTAACAGTACAGCAACCACTATTTCAATAAATCTTTTTGTACGTTTTAACAGATGTTTAAAAAATTTAGTAGTAACAGAAATTACCGGGTCTTGAGACCATGGTCGAGTTAAATTTACAGGCAACCAAATATGAGTTTTTTGTTGTAACAGCATAACTGTATAAGGCTTAGTGAAATTTAGTGTGCTATTTAAGCATGTAAATAATTGACAATTTAAACAAGTACAAGAAAAATGTGTAAAATTAAAAGTTCCCACTAAAAAGACATAAGGCAGAGGTGCACAAACAGTAATATTATACATTTTAAACCTAGTAAAATTATAAGTAGTAGATATAGATCGACTAGTCCCTGAATATGAAACATTGTACAAGGTTACAGGTTGCATAGCGGCTGGGATCTTCCAAATATGATTTTGAAGGTGATGAGGGTATTCTTCGGCTGCAACAGCAGGGTTAGCGATTCCACCATCTCCCCACCACAAAAGAGCCGTCTTCTGATGAAATATAGGAGCTCCGTCAGTTATTTTCTTTGGATCTGGAAGACTATACACAACAGAGAGATTACATCTTGTCTCATTCCATTCAGCACATCCATTAACGAATTTTCCAAATGGTCCCCAAATAATATACCCATCAATATTTTTAGCAAATTTTCCCATACATAGTTGCCAAATTATGGGATTATAAGAAATATTTTTATAAGTGAATTCAGGGCATACAGGAAATGTATTTGTATCTGGTGCTGTTAAATTTCTCCAGGTAACATTAAAGGTTTGAGCAGCCAAGGCTTGAAGCCTTGTTCTTTTGTTGCCTGCTTTTATTCTATGTTGAATCCAATACTGCCATCCCAGAGGGATGCAAGGCGGTTCCCCAATGCAAATAGGCCTTTGATTACCATAATAAGTAAAATTGAATAATGTCCCATCATCTTGATTGTGGGGGGTTAAATCAGCCCACGGTGCTGACAAAATTTCTCTAGGTGTGGTATAAAGTAAAATATCACTAGTTCCCCATTTTATAGGTTCTAATAAAGGGGGATTTGGAATATATGCCCAGTACGAATGTGGAGGTACCTCAGTCCCCGACGCAACAGTGAGCAAGGCACATAAAGCTAAAAACAAGTTTTCAGGGTTTAAAGGCTTTCCTGCTTGAAGGACAAGCCGTTGCCCTTCTATGGTCAATTTCTTTAATTGTCCCCATGTAGGGAGGGGATTTAAATTTGGTCGCTGTGAGCGGCGGGATTTTCTTAGCTGTAATCTGGCCATGGCTGCGATAGGAACAAGCTCAGCATCTTCAGCCTCTAGCTGGTTTCGGGCTCGCTTCTGAAGGCACGGTTCCGGTTCCTTGGGGAGTTGTCTCCGGGGCTGGCGAACAGGGTCTGGAGGCGCGGATCCTGATCCATCGTCCAGGGACCCACTGCTGAATTCCATTTTCTGTGGAGATATAACCAAAACCTTTCCCCTTATAGAGCAGTGTGCCCTTCTCCCATTCAGCCTCTGGAGCTGTTTTAGTCCAAATAGGTTCATTAATCACAAAGGGCTGTTGTTGCTGTTCGAAATGTCTTTCAGCTCTTGTTAATATTTCACCTTGTGGTAAATTGAGAAAATTTAAAATAAACAATGCTTGATGCAGTAATGTTTTTGGACTGTTTTGCAATTTAAACAGTATTGGTATCTGAATATCCTCCTGACTCCTCCTTTTTAATTTTTTAATTTGTAACTTAAGAGTGCCATGTGCTCTTTTAACAATAGCTTGACCCTGGGGGTTATATTTAATCCCTGTAATATGAATAATATTATGGAGATCGCAAAATTGTTTAAATGTTTTGCTAGTATAAGCAGGTCCATTATCTGTTTTGATTTTAGAAGGAATTCCCATAACTGTAAAAGTCTCCAATAAATGTACAATAACATTTTTAGTGGATTCTCCCTGTTGAGCAGTAGCCCATAGAAATGAAGAATAGGTATCAATAACTACATGTACATAAGAAAGCCGACCAAAAGAAGGTACATGTGTAATATCCATTTGCCATAATTCATTAGGTTGAGTTCCTCGAGGGTTGACACCTGCGGGAATAATTTTTAAATGTAATGGTCTACAAATAGGGCAGGCTTTTATAATCTGTTTAGCTTTTGTAAAAGGTATCTTATATTTAAGATGCAAATGTCCTGCATTTGCATGATTAAATTGATGTTCTTTAACGGGTGTGGTGAACATAACTAAGGAATCCACTGTATTGTTATCTGATACTAATGGTCCGGGTAACTGAGAATGAGAACGTAAATGAGTAATAAAATAAGAATGATTTCTTTTTTGAACATGTATTTGTAAATTTTGAAATAAAGACAATAAAGCAGGCTTATTAGAATATAACACAGCTGAATAGATATTTGTCACTACTCCAACAGAATAGGCCGAATCGGCTATAATATTAATAGGTTGGTTATGAAAATCTAAAAACACTTGTAATATAGCAAAAAGTTCATTTTGTTGTACAGAGTTAAAATTTGTCTGACGTACCCAGTAAGATTTTTGAGTCTAATATGCAGCTTTATTTTTAGATCCATCTGTAAATATAGTCAAAGCTTGTGGAATTGGCTGTACAGCTAATAAGGTATTAACCACAAATTGTTGACGTCTAAAAAAATCCCATAATTTATTTTTAGGAAAATGATATGAAAAAGTTCCCATGAAATCTGCTAAAGCAATTTGTAAGGTTTTAGTAATTGACAACAAATATTTCTATTGTTCTTTAGTTAAAGGGATAACTATATTGTTTATATCTTCTCCTATCAAAGTTATAGAACGAGCTCTACCATTTATAATTAAAGCTGCAACCATGTCAATATAAGGCATAACATTTTTAGATTGCTTAGTTTTAGTGAATACCCATTCTACTGGCATAGCATTTTGACCTAAAACTGCAGAGGGATATTGAAAAGTATTAATAATATATAAAGTTAGAGGCAATTTAGGATCAATCCTAATTAAAAATGCATCCTTAATTTGTTGTTCTACAAACTGTAATTCTTGTTCTGCTTTTGCTGTTAAAGAACGAGGGCTGGATGGATCTGAAGAGCCCTGTAGAGTAGCAAACAAATGTTGTAATGCATGGGTAGGGATACCTAGTGTGGGACGAAGCCAATTAATATCCCCTAATAATTTTTGAAAATCATTTAAAGTGGATAACTTATCTCTCTTAATAGACATTTTTTGTGGAATCACCTTTTGTCTAGTAAGAATATATCCCAAATAATGACTAACTTCTTCCTTTTGAATTTTATCCTGTGCTATTACAAGTCCAAACGGAGAAAAATATTGAGGTAAAGTTTTTAAAATATCTTCTAAAACATTTCTATCACTATATGAGAATAAAATATCATCCATGAAATGAGCCGTATAAACCTGAGGCCATCGTGCACGCACTGGTTTTAATGTTGCATCAACATAAATTTGACATATAGTTGGGGAATTTTTTATTCCTTGGGGTAAAGTCCTCCATTGATATCTTTGATAAGGTCTTTGATAGTTTGTTTGAGGAATTGAAAAAGCAAACCGTTTTTTATCTTTTGGATGTAATGGGATGTTAAAAAAACAATCTTGTAAATGTATAACATATACAAACCAACCAGCAGGGAGCGCTGAGGGTAAAGGAATGCCGGGCTGAAGGGCTCCCATTTGAAATAAGGATGAATTTACAGCACGTAAGTCCGTTAAAAGTCTCCACTTGCCTGATTTTTT